ACCTAGCAGAGCAGAGCCCCTTTGCACACAGCGGAAAAGAAGGTGATATATATATATATATTTATACTAAGAGAGGTTACTGTAAGCGACAGCGACCTGAAAAAGGGCCATACTGAAAATTTTCATGGGATTCATAGGATAGTCTCTTGGGTCATTCAACCTCAGTTGGTATAGGAGAAGAACCCATATATCCGGGTCCACTCTTCGGCGCTCGAGCGAGTTCGGCGCCGAACTGCATGTCGCCGCCTTTTTTTTTGTTCGCCAGACCTCAGCCGAGCTGGGCGTTTGAACCAGCGAAGCCCTGGGCCGCCACCTCTGGGTTTGCGATGACATGCAGGCGAAAAAAGAAGAGCTCCCATGATGCCGCCACGCGGGCGCAGCGGGAATTTTTGGGACCATGAAGCCCCCCACGAGAATTTGGAGTGACCAGGGACGGTGACAAGGGACGATGGATAAAGAGGACATGTCCCCGGACAAAACTGAGGTGTGGTCGGTGTGGTGCTGGTCCATTGCCACCGAGGCATATTTGGTCCGAGGCACACTCGGCCGGACCAATTCCTCACTTGGCCGGGCTCAAGTGTTTAGCCAACGGGGGAGTAGCGGGCAGTGCTGTTTTTGCGCCGCGCACTCAGATTGCTTGATTTAGGTAGTAGAAAGATGTATCAGGAAGTGTAGATCCAAAAAGCACAATGATATAGGAAAAGTATCAGAACGATTTTGTTTCGTCTATTCTACTTAAGGCTTTTCCCAAAAAACCCACCCCGGAATGGGACCCGAACCGCTCCGCCGCACCGGTCCGACCGGGAGGCTGCCTGGTGCTGTTCCAATGGGCAGGACGGCGCGACGTGACGCGCGACGTGGCGCGGGGGGGTGGACCGAACGGGTGGCGGGGGGGGGTTCCGCGGGGGTCGCGGTGTGGAGCCAGGAAACCGGATCCCAAGAAGAAGGAGGCGAAAGCCGCCTCCAAGAAGAAGAATGGATATGCTGACAAAGGCGGGATGACTGACTTCGTCCCAAGTCAGTCTGGAGAGTTCATCTTCTGGACCTTTGAGTGGTCTCAAGAAAGGAAGGCACCCACAGGCGGCCCACGGGGCAACATGATCTCCTTTTCACACTGGATGCAGATGCAGAGCTGCTGGGTCTCACCGTGCCAGGTGAAAATCAGCGTATGTCTGCCGAATCCATCGGCTTCCAGATCAGGAGCCGCAGGGGGGCGAAAGGCAAAGGGAATCGAAAGTCGGAGGTCCAACACAAAGGATTTGGACCTGGATAGATGGGCACTCGTTCGTCCCCGTTTTGAGCAACTCCCTTATGCACCCAGTTTGCGTCCCTTTACTTGCCAGATGCAACTACAACAACCAGAACCTGCATGAAGCCGAACTGATACGGGACCATCTAGAAAAGGATACAGTACCTGCCGATACTTGAGCATGTTCTGAACATATATAGAAACAAGCAAGGTGGTGATGTCCTGACTGATCAAACTTGTCATGCACTCATACATTTTTGCTGGAAGAGACTTGGGCTTGGCGCCGCTTCTTTTCCTCATCAAATGCTTGGATTGTCCTAGGTCAATCTAGGTCATACCAAGTCAGTTTCTCAAGTATGACAACATCGAATATGTCAGTCTCGACCTGATTCTTCGCCAGTCTCGGCTGCTGACACTGCATTCAAAAAGGCTCCAAAAAGCTCTTCACCTCACAGTCTCAGCAGGACCGGTCCCGAAGCTCCCAGCAAGACGGGCGCCAGCATGGACATCGACGTGCGGGCGCACGGGCGCCTCGCGTGGAGCAGCGCATGGCTGCGTCCCTGTGGAGGGTGGAAGAGGACTTAGGCAGCTCCTGGATCTGCCATTGTTGAGAGGAATGGGTGCTGAGATCCAGGCTCCAAGGTCAGGCTCGGCTCGAGATGTTGGATTTGCGCCCTCCCAGATGCTTTGGGCTCACAGGTCGCCGAAACAGCTGCCATGACTCCTTGGGCCGCCTGAGATTCACCTCCCGAGGTCAATGAGATCGTGGTCTTTGCAGGGAAGCAGGCCACGGGTGGCTTCTGGGCGGAGTTCGGACCGTTCTGGAGCCGTTTGGAGAGGTCGTGATGGTGTGCAACTGTGAAGCTCTTGAGCCATACAAATGAACCCAAAGGCTGGTCATTGTTCATGGCAAGATAGATAGATGAAGGTCGAGAGGGGAACTGGGGTGGTGCAGGTCAATCAGGACCGAATGAAACAGGCCCCGTGCCACCAATGAGACCACGCTGCTATCCCGTGGATCGTTCATCTGGATGGATGGCCCGGTCCTCCCAAGGAGACGTTCCCCACGGCAGGGTTCCGATTGGAACCCCCGACCCGTTGGGTGAAGACGGTACCGGTCCGACGAGCGCGCCCCAGGAGCTTCTCTTCAATGCCACGCTCAGACTCGCCCAGGGCATCAAGTGCGAGCGGGCGGGCTGCGGCTCGAAGCGACGGCAGAAGAGAGAGAGAGAGAGACAAGCTCCAAAAGGAGTCACCGGTGCTTCAATTGGTTCAAAACATCTTGGAAGAAGACCCGGGACATCTGGCCTTGTTGCTGTCCTATCCAGCTATCTCCACCAGGTACGGCCTGATTGGCCGGAATGGTGTGGGCAAGAGCACCCTCTTGCGGGCGATGGCCGAGCGCGATGGCCTGGGGCCCCCCAGCATCGGTCGTGCTCGGAGGTCGCAGGGGACACCCGTGTCCGTTCCATGTCGGACCCCCTTCTGCCGAGGCAGAGGTGGGTGGGTCAACCCACCAGCAGCCGGAGCCTCCGTAGTGCTAAGTCGTTGTTGAGCTGTTGACACCCTGGCTTTCCAGTGAGTGGGGTATCCAGCGGGACCTCGCCGCGGGACCTCGTCCTGGAACCTCAGCCACCTGCAGTCTCCGACGTTGCACACGCCTCCACTGCACCGCCTCGTTGCACGCCATGGCTGTGCCGATCCATGAGTTCATCAACAGGGACCCAGCGAGTGGATGTGTTCGGGGTGAGCTCGGTGGGTTGGGAAAGTCCTAGATTCAGCTGCAGGTCCCGGGTGGGAAGGGCCCAGAATTCGTTGCAAGCGTGACATCTCAACATGGTTATTCAGTCCTTTTTGCTGCCAGGTGCTCTGATTACAGCTAGCCAAGATGATCATTCACAGAATTGATTAGGGCAAGCTTGAGAAAGACTTGTGGGTGGTTGGGTTCCCTTCCACTCTTTGCAAAAGCACGTATTTGTATGTTCCGAAAGTGTTCACCCACCCCAAAGCATCCCGGAGCCGCCTTGGAAATCCCTCCCGAAACCGCATGGTTTCTCTTTCTTTCCTTCTCCGCTGCGGGAGGACATCAAAGAGCACACCTTCCATGCGGGCGAGGCGTGGCCCAACGAGGACAAGAAGGATGTGATGTTCTATGCCTTCCAAGATCAGGCGTCGGCTCAGTCGGCTCAGAGTCAGAGAGATTCATCAACCCCCAGGCTCAGCCCAGACATAGAGAGAGAGAGAGAGAGAGCTGCCATGGAGAGAGAACCCAGAGGTTTTCTGAAATCCGGAGGTTTTGAACGACTCAAGACTCTCTACATCAATATGATGGGTCTTCTTCAGCCGACAAAAAGGTCGATCGTCAGACCCACTGCATCCCACTGCGGCCAATGTTTCGACTCTTCGAGTCTCCACAGGCCCACAGGTCGTATACGAGCAGTAAAGAGATGTAAAGACTGTAAAGAGTGCTTTCTTTCATCTATATATAGTGGTCCCCAAATAGATAGTGGCACGGTTTCCAATACATGTTGAGTGGGGATCTACTTTCCTATCCATCTTGTGGCCTACACAGATCTGACACATCTGACACACCTCGGACTTGGCATTGCGCCGACCTTGGCATCCCGTTCCTTCCATCCGATGACCGCCCCACCGGTGCCCCCGCCCCACCGGACTCGGGCGACCGAGACCCAAGGACCCGCAAGACCGTGCGTCGTTTTCCGGCGCGTTCGGTCGTCGTTCGGCGCGTTCGGGGGGGGGGGTCGGTGCGTCGAGGTGAAAGGCACTGAGCCGGTCTACGACTTCTGGAACTCCAAGGCCGCTGGGGCCGGGCTCGGCTGGGGTCGGCAGCGGGCCGGTCTGCGGGGGCCGGACCCGGAGTATTTCGACCGTGCGAGAAGTTCCGCGATTCGACCCTAAGGACGTTTGGTCTGGTTTCTCTTCTGACTCTAACGTAACTTCTTTTTTTTGGGGGGGGAGAGGCGGTGTTTCAGCGGTGTTGGGTTTGCCTAGAAGACATTTGTATACATTTGGCATTGGACTGGTGTGTGAGACAGAGCATTAAAAATGCCTACTTGTTAGCACCACACCATGAATGATGGGTGGTTGAGAACTGGTTGTTTCTAGACTTTTTAGGCTGACTGGGCTCCTCAGAACGGTCTGAAAATGGGTCCGTCCAGTAGACCAATCATCCCCATGGGCCCATGGGTTCATTCCATCGTCGATGGCCGAAGAAGAAGGCCACCAGGATGCCAGGACGTCCCCCCCTCCCGGTGACTGGTCGAGTTCGGAGTCCAAGAGCGATGGCCTCCCACCTTCGGTGCGATGGCTTGGAAGGTCAACCCTGGTGAAGCTATCGATCCCCGCGGCTGAAGTTGCCGACCTGACCTGATTTCCGCAGGACAAAGAGCATACCTTTCACTTTGGTGAGCCGTGGCCCAACGAGGAAGAGGGTGGTGGTGATGCAGTGGGCGGCACAAGGGCATGACTGTTGGGGGTTCACGGACCAGGGATGTCGAAGAGCGAATCCGCCCCAAAAAATCTATTGGACCGACACACTTTTCTTTCCATAAATACACAGTATTTGCGACTACTGCAACTGGATCATCATGTCAGTTGAAAGCAAGTTGATTTCGACCCTTCACTGCTCCAGGAGAAGGGCAAGCATCCAGTCTTCTATGCCTACCCCTTGGGCGATGACATGAGGGGGTCTCTCGTCTTGACGGCGTGTGGAGTGCTGTGCATTGGTGGATTCCAGACCCAGCAGAGAGTCGACCTTTAAATGGACCTTCACCTGCGGAGGAGTCGCCTTCCATTGCTTTCAAATGCAGGAGAGAAAAGCCGTCGTAGCTTTTGGGATCCTGGGCTTACCAGGGCAACCCCCCTGGTACCTCAAGATGCCCAGAACCGCGTGGGGCCCTGGGGTTCTGGCTATCTGCCGAAGCCCTCAGGATGCTGAAGCCAGTGCACAGATGCTCGGCTGAAAACGGCGGCACCGCTTCGGTGGTCAAAACGACCCGCGCCCAGAAGGTTTTGGTGGGTTGTGTCAGAGTCATGTCCCCACCAACAGGACAGGTCTCACCACTTCTTGTAAGAATCTAATTATACAGCAATTGCCCTTTCTTGCACCCTTGTTCACCTCAGTCCCAGTCTTTATCTAACACTCCCTTTGTTCACCCTCCGCGTTGTGGCTGCGTTGTGGCTCGCTCCCCTTCTCCGTGGTGCACACACGAACCGAACCGGGCGAAGCCTCAGTGCTCTGGCGGACTGGGAGGCTTCTGGAACAACTCCGAGAAGAAGCACGCCTTCCACCTGGGCGACTCCAGGGCCGGAGAGGACCCGGTCGGTGGGCGCCGCTAAGCGAGTCGGTCGGTGGGGAGACACATTTCGAGGTTGGACGCGGTGGTCGAGAACGGGTTTGGGCGGAGACGAGGTGGAGGTGGAGGTGGTGTGGAGTGGACGGCTGTGAAGCTTCTGGGGGGGTGCCAGCGGGGCTCAACCCTTGTTGAGTGGAGTGTTGATCCATTTGCACGTTGCGAAGTATGATTGGACCATGCCATGCGTCATGCGTCCCAGGCGCGGTAGAGTCTGTCTCCGGTCGTGTGACGAGGACAAGCATGAGGCGCTCTTCTTGGCCTTCCAGGAGCCTCTGATCTGGAATCTCGGCAAAGATGGAGCCGCCAACATCGATGGTACTAATCCCCAAATCTACGAATCCATGGCCAGTCCGTTCCCAGTTATATCTAGACTATACACATCCAGTTGGTTAAAGGCCTCAACCTTTCTAGTAACTTCTACAGTTTTGTTCGAACTGGAAGCACTGGTTACCTAGCAGGTGGTGAGTGAACCCACTTGGTACGGGGTCCACCACACCGCGGATGTGCCGCCCAAACGCCGCCACCGATCCACGACGCGCGGCTCTGCCCAGGAACATGGATGCCCTCTGTGATGGGGCTCCAGCGGTCAACCGGGCGAAGTGGCTGATCGAGAACAAGGGCATGACGGAGGCGGCGGCGACCGATCCGTTTCAGCTCGGTGGGAGAGGCGACTGTCTCTAGAAGAGACTAGACCACTTGGGTTGGTGGGGGATCCCTCCATGACTCTTGATGATCATTGAACCTCACAAAGAGGTTTTGCAATCCCAGTGGGGGGGGTTTATGAATCAAGAGTCTACATGGTCTACATTAGGGATTCTAAGAATACACAACCTCACAATGACAGATGGGTGAGGCTCTATCCTACCCCCAAGTACCAGTTGAGCTGACCTCGTGGAGGCATCGGGACATGGGGCGTTGAAGAAAAGCAAGACAGGTCTTGGTACCGGGACCCTCCTGTCGGGGTGCCCTGTCTGGAAGCCTAGGCCGGTAGTGTGGGGTAGTCCAGCCAGGACACCCCGAGGGTCGGAGGGTCCAGGTATGCTCTGAGAAGATTGTTTAGTCAGTTTTGGTGTGAGGACAGTCTCCAGTCGCAAGTTGTGTTCCAGAGGACTTCCCCCCAGCACAAGAGAGACTTTGGACTCTCCGCTTCAGATATCTGAGCTTTTTCTGGCGAGCTCTCAGCTAAACGCCACTCCTCTCTAACACTCGAAGTGAACCATGGCCCCTTGCTCAGATTCTTTTCCACCCAGCTTTTGGCTCCTTTTGGCTCCTTCCTCCCGCACCGACTCGGCAGGAGCAGGCGAAGGCGCAGGTCATGGCCGAGTTTCCCGCCCTCTTCCGCGGCGGCGCCGGCGGCTACTCGGGCGGCTACGTGCCGAGGGCGGCGGCGCGCTTCGTGGATGGGAAGTTTCCACACACCTTGGAGATCGTCAAGGATGCCAAAGGCCCTGGGATGGAAGGTGGATGATGGGGATGAAGGAGGAGGTTTCGATCGTATGCCGAACTGAACTGTCGTGGAAGACTTCCGGGCTTTGATTTTCAAAGTGGAAGTGCTGGATGGATATGAGTGGGTGGCGGGTGAGAATGGTGAGAACTCTGTCGATTCCCATATTTCTTCGCCATTTCACAAGGGCAGCTGGGGAGGATGCTATCAAGCTGACATCAAGCTTGGACCTGCCAGTAGAGACTTGGAGGTGTGAGTAGAGACTGCGGACAAAACCATCATTTGGTCAGTTCGCCTGTGCCCCCCCGGCTGCTCCGCCGGCCGCGCCCGCCGGGTGCCCCCGGCGGAAGCGCCTGGCTTGCGGCAGGCCAGAACCGGCTGAAGTTCTCGGTGACGCCCCGCAACCCGGGTGAGGTCACCATGATCGCGGTGCACTATAGCGTCGCGGGGCCCGCGTTTCAACCGCGGCGTTTTTCCGAGCGAGCGGAGCGTTGACGAACTGTGGCTGGACATGGCTGGACGGTGCGGTGGGAGGTTTCTGTGGCTGGGAGACACAAAGAGGTTTGGCAGAGAGTCTTTTGTGCTAGGTCTTCGGTGGGTTTCAGGGCAAGTTTTTCGGCTAAGCCAAAGACAGTGAACCAACAACCCGTAGTTCTTTGGTTGAACAAGTTGAACCGCTTCCATTTTCGCGAGCTCTCCAGGCCCAGGCTTGAGCCTCCATGGAGGGTTCGGATGCATTTTGGAAGGTTTATCGATCCACAGGTCTAGGTCCTAGGTAATGAGTTGTATTAGATTTTGCTAGGGGGTGGCTTTGCTAGTTCGGTGTGGATCAAGAAGCGCAAGAGAGGTGGAAAGGAGTTCCTAGACTCCCGCATTTTTGGCGACCGGGGCTACTCCCGGACCACACCCTGGCTCACCTCCAAGCCTGGTTTGGCCGTCCGAGTGTTGCACCGGCCAAACCATCCACTTGGCCATACCAGAACCCCCCGAACCCCGCATTTGGTGCTTAACCGAACCTCCATGCCAGACCCCCATCAACATTTTGGCCATACCAGCCTCACCCCATCAACACCGCGCACCTGAGCCAGCTCATCTGAGCGCCGGCTTCGCGCTGCTCACCTCAGGTGAACAAGGATCCAGGCCGGTGGTGGATCCTTCGTCCCGTCACGTGACGCTGTAGCTCGCTCCACCGTAGGATCGCTGCGTCTGTGAAACAACCAATGCGCCAGTCACCCACAGTCAGGCGAAAGACCAGTGTGCATATGTAGTCATCCCATATGATTTGTAATGGTTGTATTGACCTAAAAGACATTTTTCCGATACTTTTGACACATTTTAACATATAGAAATGATTTGACCTTGTTGTGCAATTTAGGTATAGGCATGATGTTAGTCGTGATGTCATTGCCTTATTCATGTGTGGAGTGACGTGAAGTGAACTTATAGGTCAGGTTCGTTGCCTTGATCCCTTTCCGTGAGACTGTCGGGTCGGACCCAGATCCTTTTGGATTCTGGGAGGGGATCCGTCCGGCCATGAGCTGTCGCCGCCCCGCGCGGCTTACGCCTGATTCAGGTCACCAGGCTTCCCCCCCCCTGCACCCGATGCGAGTCCGGAGCGGACTGGCGGTCGATCTCCGGTTGGAGGCCACGAAGACATGAACTTCGACATCCACAGACCCATGGAAGGCAGCAACACCTATGTCCACGTGACCCCTGACTTTGGCCCGGTGTGCGAACCTGGATCCAAGGTTGGGAGGACACTCGGGGGTGGGGAAGCGACGTTTTTGTTGGTTCTTTGAAGAAAGAAGGGACAGCCACTGTCGAGTAAGGAGCCAGGCTTTGTACTGGCTACGGTTTCAGTTGAACTGGAACCACTAGTGACCTAGGAACTAGTGGTTTGCCTAGATCCACTGGGCAGCACATATACTATAAGGCTCTTGCTTTTCAGACTGTTGAAGGAGAACAGAACCGGAAGGAAGCTGCAAGTTTGAGGAAACTGTGGAACCTTTGAATCTTAAGTTCTTCGAGCCTCTGAATCTTCATGTGCCACCCTTTTCAAGCCCTGCAGGTGACGTATTGGCTTGCTGCCATGGAGAAGGGTTTGATTGTGGAGATGCCTGAGAAAGCATGCCCAGTGAAGGAAAACCGACTGTTCTGGACTGCAGAGAACTAGAATCTAGAATCTTTCCGCTTACTGGCACTTGGCAAGAAAGCGGTGGGCAGGGGTGCCACCCCATGTCCTTTTTGCCCTGCAAGTCTTCAATTGATGACTAGCAGAAACTCTTAGATGGACTTCCGGCCAGGGTTGGGTCTATTCCATTGCGAAAGGGAAGAACGACGAACCAAGCCCCTTCTACTAGCTGCCCGACCCTGTCACTTGGAGCACGCTCCCGATTGATGGCGGGGCGAGCTTTGGTTCGCCATGCTCCCGGATCCCCAAAAAGACGATCGTGAGCTCTTGCGCTGCCTGCGGTTTCCGGGTGATCTAGAACCGTTCCTGTGACAGTTCCGGCGGGGCTGGTGGGAAGCGGCGCAAGATTGACATGCCCAACACGACCTGTGTGTCTTTCATTTGTTTTTTGAGACAGACCACCCCTTCCACCCCGGAACCGCCACTTCTGCCCGCCACTTCCGCCAGACTTAGCTGCGTTCGATCCTAGGCCGTGTGCCGATCCCACAGCACTTCATGATCATGCACGTCGAGCAGGCGCCAAACGGCACTCGTTCCGTCTGACGGCCGAGTTGGGAATCAAGGAACGCGGCCAGGGTGACGCGGTGAGGTGACGGTTTGGCCATCGACCTTTGTGTCAGAGGAGTGACTGCGTGTTAGAAGCTACCTTCAGACATGCATATACTGATGCTAGATGCATCTAGCTAGAAGCTAGAAGGGGTCAGCATCAATATTTATGGTCAGATGCTGACCCCTTCCGCTTCTAGCTTCTAGCTAGCTTCTAGAATATTTATGGTCAGATGCTGACCCCTTCCGGGTCCCCCCCTTCACCTTCGGTTGGAAACAACAACCAAAGCGCCGACTCTGGATGAGATCAACCGGTCGAGTCACCACTTTCACCGAACTTTCGCCGCTGCATTATGACTCTCGTCGGCAAGCATCATATTCCTGGGATGAGCCAATTGAGCCACTTGCGCCCGTTTTCCTCGTTGGATGAATCAATGAGCTTGTAGTGTCCAAGCTGTCCACAACCCCACAAAGGTCAAGTGTCCACCTGTATGCGTCAGAGGTTTTTGATGTGACCACCCTTTTTCCCCTTCCGCTCTAAGGCCTTTTCTCACGTTTTCAGGGAATCTTGGTAGTAGCCCGAGAGATTTTTTGGGGCCTAGCTTGTTCAGCTTCACACTCTGGACATGCAATGATATGGCATGATGCCAATGCTGCTTGCAATATCATCAACTCATGGTACTTGTAGATCCAATGACAGCCACAAGCACCACCCTACTGCCGCTGACTGCCGTCAGGAAATCAAAGGCGATGACACACCGGTGCTGCAGAGTGTCCTGCAGGCGGATCGTGAACGCGAGTGGCTCCTCAAAGTCGAGCAGGAGACCATGCGGCCATGCGGGATATGGATAACCTGGTTTCGTGTCCACCTTCGTTTGGGGGGGCAGGGTCGGCCGGGTGCCGCGCGGTGGTTCTTTCAGTTTCGCTTTTCAACACCGGAGTTTTTAGGCGACTGAGCGATGAGGTCGGTGTGACGTCCAGCGACTTCGAAGGATTTTCGGATCTTGGCCAATTTTTGGTGGGTGACCACTGACACCTGGATACTGCTCTAGTCTAAAGAAGTAGTTGAAGCTGCTTCTAGAAGTTTGGTGGGAGCGGTGTCGGTCAATCAAGCACGTCAAGTCGACAGGTTTCACATGGTTTTCTCTGGGAAGTGAAGATGAACCTGGCACCCGAAGCCTTTGGAAGACTTTGGGAGGTAACAAAGGGCGCTACGAACGGAGCAAGGACGCTACGAACGTAGCTCCTGGCATTACTGCTAGAAACAAGAAGCTACTAGTAACACAGATGGATGCTTCCTCGACGTTCTCTGGTGGTCTTCAGGTTCCATGTCGGTCTCTTCCAGGGCATCTCGCGCCCATTCTCTCTCTCCCAACCCTGGCTGCTTCGTGTGGAGCGGCCTAGGAGCTACTGGAGAGGGAGGACGATGGGAGCGGCCTCGAGCCGAAGGCGGCTGGGTGGTTTGGCTTGGGGCAGGCATGCTTTGGCTTGGGAAGCGATGGCTGCTTCCTTGAAAGGGTGGATTGTATTGGAGGTCCGGAACAGAAACTAGTCACCGCCATTCCTTTTTAGAAAGCGTGTCTCATCCTTTGGCCTCTTTGGGTGGATGTTCACACAGCCGGGGGGGGGCCTCCCTTCGCCCTCCGCCACATGGGGAGGGCGAAAAGAACACCAAATCCATCCAAATCCCAGCTCTCAACCGGCTGAACTCCACTTTTTGCTTGTTTCACCCCCGAGTTTGGGTGCGGGTGCGGGGACGACCTGAAGCTCAGGGAGTGGATTCTTGGGTCTTTGACACCGCCTTGATGCCCAGGTGAGTGGCGTGGGCCTGATGGAGGCCGGCCGCTTCGGGAGGGGTTGTCCTCGACCTGGCTGACTGGATCCTGTTTTCGCCCGGGTTCGGCTCGGGTTCGATGACTCTTTTCGTCTAGAAACAGGCAACAGGTGGCTTTTCCAGAACCGCTGGGAGTGGAGGAGTTCTTTAAGGGAACAACTGGCCTGTGTCTCATGGCCTTGTGGAGATGATGCTGACTAGACCTCGAGTCTTTTGGGTTTTCGATGGTTTTCGTATCACCTCTGAATTCGTGTGCGAGAGGCGCCAAGTGTCGCCAAGGATTGGAGTCGTGTGGAGTGTCGCCTGCCGATTTCCCTGCTGCTAGCTAGCTCGATCTTCAGTTCAAATCACACAGCGCTTGAACATGAAGCAACCAGATGCTAGCCATATGCACCTCCCTTTGAACGTGTTACTTCAGTTCTCAGTTCAACAACTGGGAACATGCAGTGAACGATGCTGGCCACCAGTCCATGGGGAGACCCTTCTTTGCCGGAAAACAACCGAAACAGGTCTACGAGCGGCTCGAGGAGCTGGGGAACGAGGATGCAGAGGTGGAGAGTTGGTCTTTTTTGGGGAAAGAGGGCAGGGCCGGGCAGGGCTGCAGGTGAGGGAAGTTGAGGTCGTCTCCCCTAGAACTAGGGTTCATGACCAGCTGACCTGAGCGGAACTTCTCAATGCCAAGCGCTGCTTCAGGGTGTGAAAACAGCTGGAGTAAGTTTGGGTGAAACAGCTTGTGCAGGCGAGAACGTACAGCAATCAGACTTTGATTTGACCCCGGGACAACGTGAACTACTGCAGGCGGCAATGAGACTTTTGCACCTCAAAGTGTCGGACCACCCGATGCTTTTGCAGCCTCGGTGCATTAGTGAATCCACCCTTCAGTCTCGAAACAAGACGAGCCGACGAACCAGGGAAGGAGAAAGCACCACCGTCCAACGCCTCCCCCGTCCACTTTCGGCGAGCCCCCTCCGAACCTGATCTTCGCTCCAACGGAAGAGATGCAGCAGCAGCACCGTTGGACGCATCCACACGTCCTTCTGGACGCTCCGGTCGGGTCCCTCCGACCACTCCCGAGGTCTCCCGGGTCTGGTCGGCCACACCGTGCCGGGTGCCTCCGCTCGTTCCGTCCGGTTGAGAGGCCCGTGCCGCGGTGATCCTGGCGGGGCTGGGATTCTCCGGCGAGGAGCCGGGGGGGGGCAGGTGGAGAGACCCAAGAGTTGGGAGTCTTTTGGATTGGAAGAGGGAAGAAGTGGATCATGATTCTGGACTTCCCTTTTCATCAATCCTTTTCATCAAGGAACAACAAGTGTCTAGAATTCACATAAACATTGTTACATTGTTAAACATCTAAACCACGAGCCAATCTACCAGCATGCAAAAAAGCAGACACCTCTCAGCCTTCAACCTACTAGCGATGGCCCCCATCGCTCTACTAGCAATAGCCTCCAACCCAGCCACCAGCATGAAAAAAGAAACAGACACCTCTTAAGCTTTAATTTCGAACTATTGGTCGAACCCCCTTAAAGTCACTGAAGCCAAAGCTGCATGATTCTCAGCCTTTCTCCGTCCCAAGTCCGGGAAAGTACATTGAAGCACTACCAGTCCTTCACAAGGAGATTGATTTTCGGGAAACATCAACCTTTTGATGCGGCACATGGTGCCCCGCCCCCGGGGATAAAGACTAGTCACCACCTTTGACGGTTCCGTAGTGTTTGGCTCTAGCTGTGGATGGCAGATTGCAAAAGCTGCCACAACCGGCTGGGGCTTCCCGCTGGCACATCGGGGTTGTGCAATCCCTGTTACTTGGCCACCCGCATTGAGCGATTGGTGGTAACAAGGTATCCACCCGCGAAAGCCTCCGAACTCATACATTTCCTGGCGAAAACTCTCCATACCCTCGAGGCCGATACTGAGGCGTTCGAGGCTGACAAAACCGCCGGGTTGGTGGATCAACAGGGGTACTTGATCGAGAAGAAGGACACCAAGGCCGGGGCATCGCAGAAGTTCGCTGCGGGGGTTCACCCTGGCAAGGAGGACCCGGCGGCCGCATCGGCGGGGGTGAAGAAGGAAAAACAAGAAGAGTCAGAGGCAGCTACCCCGGGATCATCGACTCGACATCGACGCCGGAGGAGAGAGGAGAAGGAAAGATCAAGGAGCAGGAGCCGCAAGCGAGAACGCCGCAAGGCCAAGAAAGATCCTACGCCTGAGCCCAAGCAGGAGGTGGCAACAGAAGCGGAGGAAGAGGTTGAGGAGCCAGAGAACGAGGCAGAGGTTGAGAGTGAGGTGGACGAGGAGGTAAGTGAAGGCCCGTCTCAACACGACGACGGCGTCAGCCCAGACACAGAGGTCGCGAGGGACCCAGAGGGAGCAGGACTTAGGAAAGTCCCGCCAAAGCCATCGGCCCGCAAGCCTTTGCCGAGGCGACCGCGAACACCGTCGAGATCCCCACCAGGATATCGTGGACGGCAACCGGAAGGCACCAAAAAGTGGAAGGGTGTCAAGCACATCATACGGGGTCAAACCCTGGGATACAGCAACAAGGGGCGACCGCCCAAGGGAAAAGGTAAAGGGAAATGGCACCGAAGATGAGGAGACCGGCAAGAGCAGAAGAGCCCGATCGCAGGAGACGAGGCCTACGTCGACCCGCCGCTCATGCAGTGGACATGGGCCCTCGGGGCGAAGAAGCCCTGCCCTGGGATCCGAGCATCGGGGATCTGGTGGTTGCAGAGGCAGCGCATTACTACGGGACACCATGTCGCTTCACGGGGCGCATTCTCGAGGACAACAGGGACGCATCCGGGCGGCACCTGAGCGTCAGGCTTCATGGCACAGATCACGAAGCCCTTTTGACCTGGGCCACAGGCGCCATGACCGCAGCCCGAGTACATCTTTGCCCCGAAGGATGCTCGAGGGAAGCCGAGGGACCCGGCCTCATACATTGCAGCGACCTCCGCACCATCAAGTCCTTAGAGGAGTTAGTCGGAGTCCCCTGGCGCGACGTGTTGTTGGAAGGGCGTACGAAGCCCGACGACGAGCTGGCAGGCTTGAGGAGCAGAATGGAAGCAGTCGGGGGACCAGGCCCTGCAGCAACAGCGGCGGCGGCAGAGATCGAGGTGAAGGAGGCCAAGGAGAAGGAAGAAAAAGAGAAAAAGAAAGAAAGGAAAAAGAAGAAGCGGAAGAGAAGCCATTCCCCGAGGTCAAGGAGCGGAGAGTCAAAGAGGGGGAGATCAAGGAAGAGAAAAAAGGAGACGGGGAAAGACCCTGGCAGTTCATCCAGCTCCTCGAGCAGTTCAACAACGGTCGAATTCAAGGAGATCTCCCAGGAGGTATTGTTCCGAGGATCGGGAATGGACCCTCATGTCCGAACCCGGCGGAAGCAGCGGCGCCGGGCACAGCGCGTGGCCCGACGATCTCGCGACAAGAAGGAGGAAAGCAGGTCGGGGTCGTCGGAGGACGGGGGGGACTTGGCCCTGAAGGGGGATCAGATCTTCGGCGAATCCCAGAAAATCCGCGGGATTGCACTGCAGTTTCCAGGTGTCCTGACGTCGCAGGCGATCAAACAGATGCAACAACTCCTGGTGCAGGAAGTGGGGCTCGATCATCAGCGGGGGGGTCCCTGGAGCCCCACTTTACTCAGATACTTCAGACAAACTCTCTTCCGCAAAATGTCAGGACCAATGGCGAGGGAAGCTTTGACATTATCTACAATAGGAGATCAATTATTGAAGGGCATGGTGCCCGGGGCGATGGACACCCTGATACAGAGGCTGAAGTCGCTCGAAGCCCAGTCCACCGGCCTTGCATGGACATCCGCCCAGCGGATGGAACTTTTGCCCCCAGACGGGGCCAGCCTATCGTCACGGCAGGAGCTCTCGATTGCAACAGCGGAGCACCGCGCCGAAGTGAAGGCTCACCAGGCCGGGAGTTGGAAGGACTGGAGCAAAGGAAAGGGGGGCAAAGCAGAAAAAGAAGAAGGCGCCAAAGGCAAAGGGAAAAAAGGGAAGGCAAAACCCAAAAAGGATTAGAGGCTGAAGTGGGCCCAGAGGGCAATGGCAATATAAGCACTACGAATTCGGGGCGGGCGTGCCCTGGTGACGAGTTGGCAGATACATCACGGGGGGATGCCCTGGAAGCTCGGGGACGCAATACAGGCGATACAGCAGCGACCCTGGGGGATCGGGGGCAAAGCCCTGAGCAGGACAGTTTTTTGAACGATGAGGTCATTGGCGCCCGGTTGAAGAGGCAGACAATTGACCCACCTGGGGCTTTGGCTTCAACACGGTGCACTACGATGCGGGGGGGTGAACCCTGTGGGGGCAGAAGTGGAGGATGTGCCATTCCCTCCCCTGCCCCCTGGCATTTCTCCAGATGTGCCGCTTGCTAGCGTGTGAACACCCCGGGGAAAAAAGCCCTGTGCGTCGCCGAGAGGCGAGAAAAGGACTGTGTGGCAAGAGGCTTTGGGAGATGGGGGAGGACCTGGTCGGAGAGTTTCGAAGGGTGTCGTCGCTCTGCAGCCAGTCCACGGCAAAGGGAGGGTTTCCGGACGCTTTAGGGGCTAAGGACACTTTCCCTCTGCCCACCTTTCGAACCCAGATCGCCCTCGCTCTCGATGCCGCTAAACCTTGGGTCATTGCATGGGTACAAGCTATTTGCATGGGCCTGAATTCGTTATGGGGTTGCCCGACGGTTTCGCTGCAGGATGGACAATCCTCCTTGGTGCATGAGATGTCAGAGGTGCACACCCGCATCCTCCGGTCGATCGCTCGTGACGTGGCTCGGCTGGGAGGGGTTGGCGAGGTGACGGAGTTTTTTGAATGGGACTCTTTTTTCAGGACGCGGACTATTGATTATAAGGGGGATGAAGTCAAGACTGCGCAGCAGTTTACCTGGAGGAACATCCAGCCCGCCATACCCCGTGAAATCGGTGTGGTGGAGCTGAAGGACATCTGTGAGCAGGGATGCAAGCACTACATTGAACACTTCCCCAACTTTCTCAAACCGTCGCACGAATGGGGACACGCGCGCAAAGCAAAAGTCATGGTAGCAGACAGGGACTGGACAGAGGTAGCCACTGGATTGCTTGAGGCCGGTATTTTCGGGGTCATCCCTGAGTCGGAGGTTTTTAAGGTGCATGGAAGACCCTTGCTAAATGGACTGTTTGGAGTGGAGAAACACGAAGAAGTGGAGGGCATCCCTGTTTACAGGCTAATTATGAATTTAGCGCCACTCAATGCACTTTGTCAAGGACTTCACGGGGACATTACAACCCTGCCGCACTGGTTTGGGATGACGCCGTTCCACATCCAACCGCATGAATCCATGGTGGTATCAAGCGAGGATCTACGGTGTTTTTTCTACACACTGCGGTTGCCTAGTTGCTGGTACCCCTATGTATGCTTCAACAAGAGGTTACCGCCGGAGTTGGTGCCTCCGGAACTTCGGGGGCAGCCTTGTTATCCCTGTTCAAAGGTTCTGCCGATGGGTTTCCTGAACAGCGTTGGCATAGCCCAACACGTGCATCGGGTCCTGGCTAGGCGTTCACAAGTTCACAACCAGATGCGTGATACGGCGTCACAGGAGATACGCAAAGACAGGGTGCTACCAGAGGGGGCGACAGTCTGGAGGGTTTATCTTGACAACTATGACCTGCTCGAGAAATACCCCCACGAGGTGCTAGGAGGTATGGTCGAGGAGGTTGCCCCAGAGGTTTTAGCGCTAAGACAGGAATACCAGGCATGGGGACTCCCTCGACACCCCGGCAAAGCAGTGAGCCGGAAGACAGTACAAGGAGCAGTCGTTGACGGGGAACGGGGCATTGCTTACCCTAAGGGGCAGAAGTTGTCCAAGTATGTCACCATCGCCTACCAGCTGGTGAGTGAGTCACACTGCTCGCAAAGACAAATGCAGGTAGTTTGTGGTGGCTTGGTGTATTTCTCCACCTTCCGTCGACAGCTTCTCGGAGGGCTTAACCTCTGCTGGGCGTTTATCGAGTCGTTCAACTCTTGTGGGCGGCACAAGCAACTCATCCCAATTGGAGTAAAGCTGGAGATTATTCGCTTCTTATGCCTAGTCCCTCTCTGCCGTATGGACTTCCGCCTGAAGATGAACCCAAGGGTCACCTGCAGCGACGCGTCACAGCATGGAGGAGGTGTCTGCGTAGCCACGAGCCTCACAAACTACGGGGAAAAGGTGGCCCTGGGCGAGGAACGTCGTGAGATGGTGGCAGGTGGCGGACCACGGATCTTGAGCATTGGTCTCTTTGATGGGATCGGGTGCCTCAGAGTCGCCCTGGATCTGCTTGGGTGTGACGTGATAGGCCACATCTGTGTTGAAAAGGACGCTGCCGCCCGCCGGGTGGTTGAGCACCACTTCCCAGATAGTTGGCACTATGACGATGTTGCGGAGATTTCGACGGAGGACGTTCAGCGGTGGGCGCTACGTTTTGGGCAGGCCTCGCTGATCCTAATTGGTGCTGGACCACCATGCCAAGGAGTCTCAGGACTCAACAGTCAACGCAAGGGGGCATTGCGTGATGAGCGATCGTCATTGTTCGTGCACGTGAAGCGATTGCGTGAGTTGGTACAGTGTTGTTTCCCTTGGGGGCAAGTCCACTGCTTGATGGAGAGCGTAGCATCAATGGATGATCGTGACAAGCACATCATGACGGAGTCGTTCGGGGATCAACCCTGGCAAATCGACGCTGGGACGTTTTGTTGGTGCAGCAGGCCACGGCTGTATTGGATCAGCTGGGAGCTCAATGAGGAGCAGGAAGACGTGGAGATTGATGGCAGGCGCGTGATATTGACGGGGCATCAGCCCTGGACGTCATCGGTGGAAGCTGGATGGACAAAAGTCGACGGAGACAGGCCTTTCCCTACGTTTACAACGTCAAGACCACGTACATCACGGGGACATCGCCCTGCAGGCCTGGATGCGTGCGACAAAGCCACCACCACCCGGTGGGAGGACGACCTACATAGGTTCCCGCCATACCAGTACATTCCACGCAATTGTGTGGTCAACAAACGTGGTGACTACAGGCTTCCGAATATCCGTGAACGAGAATACATGATGGGGCTGCCCGTAGGTTACACGCTGATGTGCATGCCCAAGTCAAAGCGGAAGCTCCCCGAGTGCATGGACAAGCGGCTGACCTTGGTCGGGAATGCCTGGGCTGTTCCAGTGGTCAGTTGGCTTATTGGGCAATTGGTAGGACCACGGGGAGCTGGACCCCTGTTGCCTCCGGCTGAGATCCTTTCTCGGCTGACCTTGGAGGGGAATCCGTATATCCAGTCGCGTCTTCTCAGAGCACCGCTCAAGACGGATCAGCGTGCAAGTACAGGAGCAGAGGAGGCCTTGGCACAGCACTTAGGACGTCTAGTTTCCACAAAGGGGTCTGACCTTATGATCACGGCGGCGCAGGATGAGATTCAGAGCTATCAGCGGCTTCGACATACTGTGAATGCAAAGATGTGGCGTTGGAAGGTGGTATCCGGCTGGAGGTGGCGAACGCCGGGAGAGCGCATCAACTCGTTGGAGCTTAGAGCTATCTTGGCTTGTCTCCGATGGCGATGTGAGCATCTGGGGGAGCATGGATGTCGCATCCTTCACCTTACAGATTCGCTGGTCCGCCTACACAGCCTCAGCAGGGGAAGGACATCATCACGCCGCTTACGCAGAACCCTTTGCCGTATCAACTCGCTTCTATTGGCTCACAACCTGGGTGCCCTTTGGGGCTATGTTCATACTGACCTCAACCCGGCGGATAAGCCGTCGCGGTGGTCAGTGAAGACGAAGTTCAAGCATGCCAAAGGTCGTACTTGAGGGGACCACTCAAGCCAGTAGAGCGAAAGAAAGGCAAAGGTTAGGTACTTTGAGGGGCCTTACGGTCCAACCTGCCACACGTGTGCGGTATGATCGAGCTTTGAATCGCTTCCTGACCTTTCTCAAAGAGGAAGGTTTGGAGTTGCCTACCCGTCGCAGCCTGCTAGACCCTCTCGTGATGGAATACATAGAGCATCTCTGGCGCACCGGGGAGGGGCGTGGACTGGCCGCCGACACCCTGGCGTCATTGCAGGACTTTGACGCGAAAATTCGGGGGCAACTCCCTGGTGCCTGGCGCCTTGTCAAAACGTGGGTCACGCACGAACTGCCCAACAGGGCTCCGCCCATGCCTGAAACCATCCTCCACTCCATGGTGGGATGGAGCTTATACCATCAGCATTTTCCCTTTGCTACCAGCCTTTTACTTTGTTTTTACGGCGCCCTACGCACGGGTGAATTGCTAGATGTTACCAAGCGTCGGATCGATGTTTCCGAAAACCTCCGAGTGGCTGTTGTAAGTCTTGGCCTGACAAAAGCCGGCAAGAGGGCTGGCGCACAGGAAAGTGTCACGGTAGGCCATGACACAGCTTTCCGTTACTTGCAACAATGGATGTCCCTTGCTAGTTCACGCCAGCGACTTTGTCCGCCAGCGGCCCGTTGGCGCAAACTTTTTAAAACGTGCATAGAAGCCCTGCACCTGGAGCCCCTAGACCTGAGACCATACTCTCTCCGAAGGGGAGGGGCTACGTGGTGGTTTTGCCAGCATGGGAACCTAGATCGCGTAATGCTTCTAGGTCGCTGGCAAGCCCAAAAAACGGCTCGTTTATATTTGAACGAGTCAAGAGCCGTTTTGACAGAAATGCAACTTGGTCCCTTTCAGCAGTTTTTGACACCATACCGTACTTTCTTTGCAAATTCCACCCCCAAGTCTTTTAAAACACTTGAGCCGCTGCAAAGCAGCAGGCCGTCCGCCGGAACTCGGCGGCTCGGGGGACGTGGAAAGAAGGGTAAGAAAACCCTTAAGAGACCTTCGTTGGGGGGG